CAGCCAAGCGAGCACTTCGCTATTTCGAGGCACGATCGACTACGGTCTCGTCTTGGGTGGTGAACACAATGTCACCACTCCGCTGCACGCATTTGCTGACAGTGACTACGCTAATTGCGTTGACACTCGTCGCTGCGTCGCCGGCTTTGTGACATTCTACTGCAACTCTGCGATCTCATGGGTCGCTAAGAGACTACGCAGCATAGTTCTCTCGACCATCGAGGCAGAACTTATGATTCTGTGCACAGTAGCACAAGAATGCTTGTACATCAAGCAGACATCAGGTGAGATGGGTCATCGCATCACCTCGGCCATGAGGACAATCAAAGCACCATCCAGATAGTGAACAACTCTGGTCACCATGGGCGCACCAAACATATTGATGTGCGCTATCATTTCATCAACGACCTCGTTGAACAACAAGTGTTTCAACTCGAGTACACAGATACACGACTCCAAGTCGCGGATATCTTCACCAAACCGTTAGACATTACAACGTTCTGCGCACTGCGTAGTAGACTAAGAGTGGAGCAGCTACAGCCCTCCGACCCCTTTGGCCCACACCAATGAGCATAAACTCTGGCCTCTCAGCCCGTGACCAGTCCCGATATGTACGGAGGACGCTCCAACCGTGACAGGTCAGACAACGGGGGGTGACGGCATCCCGGTGGTTACTCGATCCATCCGGTCTCTTCCCCGGCATGTCGTGCGGAAGGACCAATTGGTAGGGACCCGCTAAGAGGGGTGTCTGACGAGTTTAGTCCCGGACATAAGACGGTGTAACCATAGGTGGTTACGCTCACTGAGTCTAACTGCCAGCCTCTTGCTGCATTATGGCACCTGATTCCGGTGACAGTGCGTGGGGTTGTTGGGAGGCAGTCAGAACACCCTGTTCTGTCATGAACATCACCACTGCCCTGAAGCCTCAGGTAGCAGCATTGGCTGCAGCTAGTACTGTAGGAGGTTTTGTGCCTTTTAGAGGATTTTCCTCATATAGTAGATAGCCAGCCATATCCACGGTACATCATTAGGTGCCGTGTCCTGATTGGCTAGCCATTAGCAAGTCCGTCAAGCCTTTAGAGCCAGTTGTTCTCACTGGTAGCTAAGCTAATTCACCTTCCGTTTCACCCGCAACCACCCAGTGTTCCCCCTGGTTTTTGCACCCCACTAAATCGAAACGAGGCCAGTAAAATTTGCTCTTAATGGCGCCAGTAACTCCCTTATCCGAACAAGTTATCCGGACAATATGGTCAAATTTACTGGCACCGGTGCAGATGCTCTAACGGTACAACCGAGTAAGCTTACCATAAAAATTCCGACATGAGATTGGACCGGTTAGTTATCCGTATAGTCAATATGATTGGTTAATTTAAAATCACTTTGCAATGTGCAGCCAAACGATGAAGTGCCCCCATCGCTATGTGCGCTTCTCCCTGCTGCCGCCGCTTCTGACTACCACAGCCGCTACCACTTCTACCTGTCACTGCCTGCCACCACCACCACTTCTGCCGGCCTCTATCTAATGCCGCTGCTGCTTCCACCACCGCATCTGTCTGCAACCACCACTGACTTCTGCCACCACTTCTCGCCCCACCACTTCTCGCCGCCACCTTCTGTCTACCGCCGCCGCTGCTGTCGCCGCCATCCCTTCTGTTTGCCTCTGCCACTGTCTGCCGCTACCTCATCTGTCTGCAGCCACCGCTGCTTCCGCCACCGTTTTCTGCAGCCGCTGTGTCCCATCCTGTGGCTTTTTGCTGCCTCTGTCAGCCCGCGCCCATTGACTGGTGCTCGTGGTTTTTCGCCGGCTGCGCCACCATATCATTCGAACCTGGCCGGTCTCCGCCGGAGGCCATACACCAGCCAAAAAAATATACAGTATTATATAACTTGATTGTGTGCATATTGACAAGTCGGGAAAAGTAGAATGCCTGGTTGTTTTGCAGCGTGCAGCAATTGGGTCGCGCGTTAGTTTGACCCATTGCTAACACACACACTCTGTGTGTGAGCCGTGTCAACGGTTCCGATACCTTAGTGGAGGTACTGAGTACTTTAGTGAATGATAGTCAGTAGGCACCTCGTGGCGTGTTTAACCTCACTAATGTCAGTGTTATATTTGCTACCTTGACAAAGGTCCCGTGGCCGAAAGCCAAGGTTTTGGGACAATTGTCCTTTACCGGAGGGAGGGGTTGTAAGTCCATGTAAGTACGACCTTACTGCCGTACATAGCTGTACGGGTTTAGGTTTGTTGCGGTCCAGGGGGCTATCCGGAAATCGGGTTTCGGGGGTTATGGGGGCTCCCGGCTCCACCTCTGTACTTGGGGATATGTCCGTACGTAATGTCGTAGGACACAGTTTCCGTTTAAGTGAAGGAGGTTTGAGATGACATATGGTGATCTTATCTATCTTTAGTACCTTTAAGGCTGGATCGAACTGCCTAAGCCGTAGAATGTCGCGAAGTCCGTGATTATTAGGTCCATTTGGGTCGTACAGAATGGAACCTTAACAAACAAACTATTGCTTCTTGTAGGAGGAGAGCCGTGGTCTGAGAGTGCCTGTCGAAACAAGGGTCGCAGTACAGTACTCTTGTACCCACGGTACTGGACACAATTGTAAAGGGCTTCGATAAAGTGTTTGAAGTCAGTTAAATCAGGATTCTGCTTCCTAAATTTCTTCAGAAGGCCGAAAATGAACCCTTTTAGTACTTCAGGAGGATATGCACTGTGCGCAGGAATGTATAGGTATAGGTTCAGCTGTTTCTGATGAGTCCTAAGCGTGTACACGTCTTTACACAGTATCCAAAGATCAAGAAAGGCGATTTCCGTAGGATGTGTGGAAAAGACAAACTTGAGTTTTGAATTTTGCTTAAATGTAGCGAGAAATCGATTGATTACGAATGGGTTATCAGCAAAGTTCTTTATGATGATAAAGCCATCGTCGATGTAACGCTTATAGTACCGAAAGTGGTCACTAAACCGAGGTAGAAGGACAGAGTCTTCTATGAATCCTAAGTAAAGCGACGCAAACGTCGGAGCAACTGGTGTGCCCATGGCAGTTCCGGATAATTGGAGCCACGTGGTGTCTCCAAAAACGAACTAATTAGAAGTCAACAGAAGTCGAAGTCCAGTTATTATGCCAAGTTTCCTGGGTTGTCAGATAGTAGTCGTTCAGGACAGGTTAGCGCGGGGTCGATGTTGATAGAAGTGTATAGGGCACTAATGTCAAATGTGACCATAAGGTCACTATCGTTAGGGACTAACTGGTTGAGGTCAATAATGGGTTGATCTGAGTCTCTCAAGTACGAGGGAGATTCCGTCAGATATGGCTGTAGGTGGTAGTAGTAGAGTTAGGTCATGAAAGTAGAGGTAGCGCTGAAATCATATAATGGCTTGAAACCAGAGGTAATTATCCAAACCGAGGTATTTATGAAAACAGAGTTAGCGCCCTGAAAGTGGAAAAATTGTTTTCACGCGTGCTTTTTGGGGGTTTTACTCGTGTTATGAAAAGTGGGGTCATTCTTCGCCTGGCCCCACCACTGAGTGATGTACTAAGAGGTGGGACCAGTACCGTACATGCATTCGTCGCCTTGTCATCTCTCGGACGCGCTACATGACAGGCGTCAATTATCCGAACAGCCATGACCACCTCTATCTCGGCCAATACTGGTCCAAATTCACTCATTCTTCGCCTGGCCCCACCGCTGAGTGATGTACTCAGAGGTGGGACTAGCCTTATTCAAGTAGACATGCGCTCGCTATTCCATGCGCGTGCTACACGAACCATGTTGGTCATCACTGTAGACATGACCTGTTTTATGTCGGCCAATCGTTGTGCAATTAAACTGGTTTGTCGACTTGTGCTACTGCTGGTCATGGTAGAAATGTCTCCCCCACGAACTGCCCCAATTCCCTCACGTTTCGACGTCCGTAGGCGCTGACAAGAAATGCATATATGTTTATATCAATTACAATGAATGTGGTCAAGCAACTACATATTTAAGGCTACCCCGCCTGTCACGTCAACGCCTCCGATGAATGCAGCATGAATCGCACTTGAAACTTTGACGCCGTCGAAGCGAACGTTTTCGCGTTCACAATTGACTTCGAATTGTGCTGCCCAACCCTTCTTCTGTGGAAGGTATGACACCACAACGCCGATGGCAGTGTGGAGGCTCCACACTCTTGAGCCGTTGTCTTGATCTTCACACACTTTGAAGTCCTTGCAGCACTTGTAGCCAACAATGCTCAACGGCAACATCGATATACGCTTCAGTAGGTTTTCTTGCGAGAAAAATTCATCTCGAGTCTCAACTGACAGACCACCTTGTGGATGTCGCGGATGTCGCGGCCTTCCGTTCTGTTTTCGCTGCGGCAATGTCCGCAGTCTTGCATCGATGTTGAAACCATCGATGATTGCCAAGCACGCCTCTGTGTGCGAGCAAAGCCAGCCACTTGAGTAGTATCCTGCACAATCGCAAGAATATTTCAGGCGCGTAGCGCCGCACTATTGACACATTTATTATATCTCACTTGGCGCAATAGACTACCTCGTCGAAGCTGAATGGTGTCAGCGCGAGCATGTGGTCGCGAATGTGGACGTCGGTGTTAACAGCAACCGCATGAAGACTTAGGAGGACATCTTTGTTGGACTTTTCGGTTGATCTGACCATATTCTCACCATCAATAGAGTTGATAAATCTAACACAAACATAAGACGATTCCATTCTACGAATTGTACGAGACCTTTCTTCGCGACTACGACTTATTTTGCGACCGAAGTGTGATGTGCTGTTTAACAGTACGTGTGTGTTTGTCGAGTTGATGACGTGATTGATTCAGGATTGCAACGTCAACGCCTTCTCGAGGACTTCTGTTGAAATGGGGCAGGCTGCCCAAAGCCCTGGACTCGTGTCCGTCGCGATTTGATCGGGAATGGTGTGTTGGAGTACCACACTGGTCAAGGCCCGCAGCTCATGTGCACAAACCTATTTCGAATGTATATTCTTAATCGTTCTCAAGAAACAACTTACTGATTCCCTTGTGGTGGCTTTCAATGTGCTGTTGATGGGCGACGACACCTGGACATCCAGACGCTGTAGAAAACGACAGATCCCAGGCCGGAGTGAGATAGATCTCGGAAAACCACTGCGAAAACGTCACTTCGCCGAGTTTCGTGCTCCACGTCCACATGTACGTGGTTGAAATGATTTGGAATTGGTGCCACGTCCGTGCGAGCCACATACGTTCGATATCTCCCTTGACTTTGTCGTAGTTGTCATTGCTGATCAACAAGTGCTTGTGGCGCCGCATATTGCGCTTCAAATGGATATAGCACGATATGGTGCGGATAGCTGGCCACTTCGAGGTCAACGCAGCCATGATGTACCCGGTGTGGTCAATTGACGCAATTGCAGGAACGAGGTCTGTGTTGAAAAAGGTGGAGTACATACTTGATGTAACATCGAAGAGTTTATAGTACGCCTCCTTGCACTCCGCTCGGACGAACAGGTACATCCATGGCAGAAATTTGTGGCGTACGCAGCCTCTGGAGTACTTAGTGTACACATTCGGGGTTTCGGGGTATCCCGAAACCCCGAAACCCCGAAAAATGACGCATGATACTGTACATGCTTTGTCATAATAATTATGGTCCGGACCAGCAACACGATTTTCATGTTAATCGGTCAATAAAAGCACGCGCAAGTAACCCAGCAAGCGAGAAAACCCCAAGCACGCGTGAACCCCCAAAAATTGTTTAAAATACGCGACACGAGTAAATGCCCCAAAAAGCACGCGTGAAAACCCTACACCCCCTGAAAGCAGAGGTAGAGCTGAAATCGTACAATGGCTTGAAACCAGAGGTAATTATGCTAACCGAAGTACTGTCCATCGAGAAATGTGTTGCGTTGTGAACACAACACCGCAGTTATAGAATAACTTTAGACCGTATTCCCCTCCAACGCATCCGTTTAGTCATTCGTTTCATTCTACTTCTACTACCGTATACCCCCCGCTTCAGTATCTATGATTTCTCCGGTTGGGCCTGTACCGGTTAGGAATTCTCGGCCTATGGGGAAGGATTTAGAGTTTTCGTCTGGACGTGTACCTAGTTGTCAATGATTGGTCATTTATAAGACCAATCACATTTCACAAATAAGCTTGTGGCTTCACAGAATCAAGGAGGTGAAAGCCGTTGACGTCGTTGGGGTGGCAAGTGGGGATGGAACAAGATCGTGCGCACAAGTCACGATATCTGTGGCGACAGACTTACGGTGGACGACCTTTTGGTTTTCAAGCTGGTTGTCGTCGAGGACCCAGCTGGAGACCTCGTCGAGGTTATGAAGGTATACCGCCTCGTCGCGACAGATATGGCGTGTCACGTAGGATTCCTGCCGGAGCGACTCATGTCAAAGAAGTTGCAATTGAAAGACAAGATTGCGGTCGTTGTTGATGATTATCGGTTGTCTGCAAGCAGCGCGAAACGCAGTCGTTCGGCTCGCAACATGGGAATTGTGAAAGCAATTTTGCTCGACCATATTCAAGAATATCACAGTACGATGTCAGGTTAATGTTTTGATTATTGTGATGATATCATACTACAAATCCATATCCGCATTTTCGCCACGCATTGCAGATCACTTCAGGAGTTACTTCAGCCCAGGATTTCTCGATCCATTGCAACACGATTTCACGACTTGGCGATGGCACGACTTCGTTTCCAACCATGTTGGCAGCGGCCCACATCATGTATGCATGTCGGATACGGTCTTTGAACGGCTTGTTGATGTCAACGTCCAAAGGCTGCAACACGCAGGTATAACCACCTAATAATAACAGTAAGTACAAAACATTGACATTAGTTAACAAGAATTACAACATACAATGGTACAAGACAGTGACAATACAACAACAATTACAACACAAATATAAAGCATTACCTGGGAGAATTTCGACTTCAGTTCCCAGCTTGGCTAACGATTTCGTAAAGGCGGGTTGCTTGTGGCACTTGTAATCGTCCATCAGCAGGATACTTGGGAGTCCACCAGAAGCAAATGGCGCCCACACAGAATCACGCCAAGCTTCTGTTGTTGGGTCGTCCAACCACGCCTTGGTCTGGCATGTGCCAAACATTTTTGCAGGCATAACAGGTTGATCTCGGTATTCACCCTGGCTCCTGGAACACCCTTGAAGACGACAAATGGCGGGAGCATTTCTCCTGTTGCCGTCACGGCCAAACACACGGACACCCTTGGGTTGTGGTTTGAGCACACACGAGCTGAGACAGTCTTGGCGCCCTTGGGAGCGATTGTCGTGTGCACGTCGGGTTCGAAATACACGGGCGTTTCATCCATATTCACAACTCGACTCCACGGAACGTCCGCCACGGTACCAAACACCGAAAATCTGTCTTGCAAGGAGCGCACGAAATCGTCGCGGATTTCTTTCAGATGGTTCGACAGCTTTTGGCCCTTTCGAGTGAGGCGCCGAATTGAAAGGCCTTGCCGGTTGAGGAACGCGTACACCCAGTGGGACAATCACTTGGGCAGCGCGTCATGGAACGTTGGGTCGATACTTAGCGCCTTCATGGTGAGCATGGCGGTGCTCACAGCTATGCCGCTTTCGCGCAAAGTGTCATAGTGGAAGCACATGTCCTGACCTGTGCTTCCACGTCTGGATTCTCGACAGGTGGGCCATAATAACTGTCAATCTTCCGGGTCGTTGGGCGGCAGCCAGTTTGAGCTGTGCTATGTTTTTAACCCAACGCGACAGCTGCCCACTCTGAAGGCCGTACTTCTTTGCTATGGCGTACAGTGTTTGATCAGACTTTGCGTGCTCCGCAACGATTCGTATCGTGTTGTCTAAGCCCATGAATCGTCTTGGACCTCCAGTGCGCGCTGGACGTGGTGGCATGACGATCAATTGAGCTGTGAATTTGCATCGAGCGGGACTTTAGGTGGGATTGTCTTGTCCAATAAAATTAGTAGAGCTGGTGAATTTTGACCAATCAACAAGTATTATTCTATCTTCAAAGTTTTCGTGTTACCGTTTGGAGCTGTACCGGTTTTGATTAGATTTCACCGACATTTTCATAGGTACTGAAGCGGGGGGTATACGGTAGTACACTTCGTGAGATCACACTCTCCCTGCGCGCTTTCCAGTCTGTAGATTTGATCGCTTCCTGGCCTGTGCACTGGACAGCCAAGCAAATGTTATAATGACGAAACTCTACTCCAGGATTGGCTACAAAATCATATTAATATCAAATCAAATCTGTTCGCAGTCTCCTCTGCGTTCGGGTAGAGATTTTGGGGATGTTCTTCGCAGTCTCCTCTGCGTTAGGGTGAAGATTTTGGGCGATCAAGATGTTCGCAGTCTCCTCTGCGTTGGGGTGAAGATTTCGGGTGATGTTCGCAGTCTATCTGCGTTGGGGTAGAGATTTTGGGCGATCAAGATGTTGTTGTTCGCAGTCTCCTCTGCGTAGGGGTAGAGTTTTTGGGCGATCAAGTTGTTGTTGTCTGTGCACATAGCATAGTTTAATCAAGTAAAAAATGTAACCGTCAAAGTGCGTCATAATAAGCTTTCTCAAGATATTCAATGCACTATTTATGACTATAGCTTAGTAAGCATAGTACAAGCAATATAAACACAATAGAAGTCTAATTTGACTGTATTATCTTATTTGTACAGAAAGTACAGTACATACATATTCCAGTACGTACATTACAACGTACATCAGTACATAGACGATACTACAAGTACGTACTAGTACATGTAGGTGACACTATGTACTGTACGAGGCTGAACGGAATACAATTATCTACAGTTAACGTTAACATAGGGGGGTTCAAAGGAGTTAGTTAGTACGAGTACTGGATCACAATATTTAACTGTATACTAGTAGTGTGTACAGTATGTAATACTAGGAACGGAGTAGTATAATGTACTGTATGCGGATGTACGAATTGAAGTGGGGTACGTATGGTGCACGTCATCTATAAACTACCAACTTTTCACAAAATTTTCTGACTTCTATTTCATATTCATTACTCAAAATTGCAGCAAATTGTGACGTATAATCGACAGATCTCAATGTGGTGAAGAAATTCTACGTCTCAGATTCAAATTTTGTGATGAATTGGTCCAGAAATAGATATTTAACCTTGCGGTATTTTACATGGGCGCTTGGATATTTGGCCATAGGGGTGGCCGCT